ATAGTCAGAAAAATTTGTAGCTATACTTAATAAAAGTTTTGTTTTGTAGCCCAAATTAATACTGATAGTACTTTAAAATCTTATAACATTTATGCCATTAAATTAGGCTATAAAGGAGAAAACTATAGCCAGAGAAAAATTCAGCCGTTGTCATTCTCATAAATTGTAGATTAATGATGACCAACAACAATTGATTTTAATTTCACAAGAACAGACTGTTGGGTGATTTTACAGAAATGAAACAAAAACACATCAAATAATCGCTTGTTCCTAGACGACGAAAAATTTTTTTGTTTAAAACCTAAATAATTGTTTTAGTTTTTTATTTTTATTACTTTAGTTTTTCATTTTACACGTAAATTTTTTGCCATTAGCACTTCTAAACAGCTTTTGACTGTTACCGAATATGAAACAGAACAAAAATCCTCTTCGTTTCCGTTCAAACGAAAATTTTAACAGTTGAAATTTACGTTTTTGGAAAATTACGAATAAAACAATACAAAGAAACTGCAGCAGTGGCGTCTTTGCATAAAATCCTTTGTGTGCTCGATACTTTAATATTTAAATTGTTTTGAAATGCAAAAAAAAATGATGACTCAAAAAGGATCGGTAAAGGATATGGTATTGAATGAAATTGTCAGTTGCTTTTGGACCAGCAAAGATAAACAACAGTTACGGTTACAGCGATCTGGGCTTCCGGTGTTCCACAAGTATCACCAAATTTGAGTGTCCCTCGGTGCGTCATAATTTATGAAAAAGAAAATAAAACAACCAAAAATTCAGTTACGCTCAAAAAAAATTTGCTTATCAAATAGAAGAAGAAAAAGCAATTTTATTCCAAATGACTTTTTTTTTATTGGCTAATCTTAAACGAACAAACTTATACACGAAAATAAAATCATCAATTTTTTTTAGCAAAAGAAAACGCTTTCCTTGTATTTTTTTTTCGCTTTTTTACTGCTATCATTGTTATTTAGCTACAGTTTGAACAGAAAAAGAGAAAGTAACTCGAAGAAAAAAGAAATATGTTTGACGCACCAAAATTTGATTGATATAACTGATATAAAACGCTTTCATCTTCTTGTTGCTCGGTTCCGCTGAAAAGTATAACTTATGAAAGTAAAATAACAATTAAAAGTAATAAAGTAGCAATCTAATAACATAAAATTGAAATCAAACAGATGACTTGAATAAAAATAAAAATGATAGGAAAAAAAATAAAATAAAAAAAGTCACACAAATTTATTAAAAAAAGAAAGTTGTATATAAATTGAAATTTAAGCGATTTTATCCAATGCAACATTATTTTTTTGCTCCCTTTTTTCGTTCTATTTTTAGTTTCATTTCTTTCGTTTACGCTTCCACTGTTTACAGACATGCGTAAACGAAATAAGCTTTTATTCTATATGCTGTAGACACACGTATACACATCGATAATATGATTAGACAATTCAATAACCGGTAGAAGAAAAACACTTTTTATCTAATTGTTTTTAGATAAATTAACGACGGTAACACTCACTCCAAATAAGCAAGAAAAAACTGGGGAGTTAGTAGGAAAATTTGATATGAAAAATACGCGCACGAAAAAAAGAAACAAAGCGGGACAAAATACAGCTAATCATACAGCTAATCTAGACGAACAATCATCAACTGATACCCCGCAAACAACGCTTGTGAAACTTTCTCAGCAACAGTTTATTTCGTCATTTATTCAATGTATACACATGAGCCATTCTGTGCCATATCGCACACTTTCGAACACAGATTTTTTCATTTTTTCCTCGGTGGTTGAGTCTAGGCCGGTATAAAAAAAGCCGAAAAAAAATTTGGAATAGTGAAATCGCCACCAACTTACCCCAAAGTTGCAAAATTTGCCGAGTTGCCGCTTGACATGCCTATCTTTGTAATTCGGCCTGTTCTTAATGGAATTTAGCGATTTGTAATCCAGCAGGTTTACATGTTCTGAACTTTTGAAAAAATGTTGAATAATTTGATTTTGTTGAAAATACAGAAAGAAACAAAAATAAAACTTTAAACAAACATAGAAAAAAAACGTGTCTTTGAAATTTTTAAAAAAGATATATTTTGTATAAAATTTGTTGCTCTACAACATGTCGAAATTTGGTGATGGCGATTTTTTGATGTCAAGAGTTGAGAGACAGAAAAGATTGTGAGAATGAAAAAAACCCACTATTTCTACAGTAATCCCATGTATTTTACCGTGGCGAAACCATCCGGAGCAGTTTCCGAAAGTCGCAGCTGGCAGCTGCAAATATGCGGTATGCTTCAAACATTGAAAATTCGCTACTAAAATTGTACTTTACTTTAATAATATCAAAAAATCATTATTTTGTAGAATCGTAAGAGGTAGCCTTCACTCTATCGTTTTCTACTACTGTTTTCTCGTGTTTCATTTTGTAAAAACTATGTAGCTAGTATACATTTTGGCGTCGCAAAGAAGTCTAAGAACTCACTGCTTTATCTGGGTAGCTGTTAAATTAAAGTTTTTCTCATAACTTTCTGTGTCTCTGGAGAACTGCAGCACATATTTTTGAAGAAGAACAAGTCTACCCTAGCGGAAACTTTAACGAGTACAGAACAGAAAAAATTCCAAGATCTCAGGAATCACGAAATACAACAAGCAGAAATGCTGGAGTAAAGGCTACCTCATCCAACGCTACAGACTAATAATTTCTCAATATTATTGAAGTAAAGTACAACTTTGTTAGCGAATTTTCAACGTTTAAAGCATCCTGGATATTTTTAGCTGCTCGTTGTGGCCTCCAGAAGCGGCTCCGGATGACTTCGCCACTGTAAAATTCATGGTATTACTGTGAAAAAAGTGGATTTTTTCAGTTTCACATTGCTTCCTAGTTCTTAACTCTCGATATCGAAAAATCGCCATCTCCAAATTTTGATATGTTGT